AAGCTGCATTTGAAGATGTTGAGAACGGTTAGGGCAAACTCAGGGTTGTCGGATTATGATATTGCCAAGAAATGTAATGCCCGTCAGAAGGATTTCGATCGAAGCAACCAAACAGGACACTGAAGCAGAATCTAGTGACTAAAAGACGTGTCCGGAAGTTGTACAATGATGTTATTACAAAGTACGAAGGATGCATCCTCATGTATGACGAAATGTACGTGAAGATGGATTGTAGGCCCCGGACAAAAGCACTACACAGCAAAAAATTAAATTTTAATGTTACATCCAAGAGGATGCACTTCAATCATGTCGAAAATCTCATGTAATTGTTATGGCCACACAAATAAACAAATGCAGTAAAAGCAGTGTCAGTTCATGCACTGTATTAATGATAGTTTTGTCTTTTTTGGCAAATATTATTACACCATATTTTTGACACAATGCCACTTTGATGTGATATCAAAATTATTTTTTTTGCTGTGTATAAAGCCACTAGCAAGTTCAAATTCGTTTTTGCCGACAAATTTGGTAGAAAGCTTATGATCTTGCAAGGTATTTGCAGCTGAGAACAAAAAACCCAGGTTTTCGTAATAAACAAGACTATTGATCCCAAAATATACAAGCAGGAGTGCATGAAAAACGTATTCTTTCGTACATTAAGGTTCACAATGGACCTAAAAAGTTTTGTCTTGATTTGCCAAGCTGCCACTACAGCGGAGAAGTTCTACAGTGGTATCGAGACAACGGGGTAGATTTCTTCGAAAAATACATCAATCCACCCAACTGCCCTCAATACTGCTCAATTGAGAAATATTGCGCAATTGTCAAACAGAAGTTGACGAAGAGTGGAAAGATGACACGGGATGCGACAGAGATGAATAGATGGTGGAACAAAACAGCCGCTCAAGTTAGCCAACAGAGTGCCCAAAATATGATGAGTGGTATTCAAAGAAAAGTTCGAGATTTCATAAAAACCAAATCGGAATAAATTGCAATAAATGACCCCCGTTTTGAGTACTCAACATTTTTCTTTCATTAAGATGGTTCCGAGATGCACCCGGTTTTTTGCGTCCAGATATTAAATGACTCAAGCTTTAGTCAACTAGAACAATCATAGCTTGAACCTCTGTTTAGAAAGCGCTTAGGACGCTACTCCATTTAACTTCACGACAAGTTCTCCACTAGTAAAGCAACCCGGGAAAATCTTTACTATTGATATCTAAAGTTGATGTGGATTAGCATTACAGAAGAGGTTAAATATCAAGAAATAATACCAAAACATAGCATGCCGAATACCATATTAAAATCAAATGCTGATATTTGCATATCAAACAAATACCTACGCTTTAGCACTTTGTTATTAATTGGATACCGTAATTGATTAATTTGCTATTGGAACGATATTGCAGGAACAAATTTTAAATATTATTTCTTGATACTATACCTCGTATATCGTGCTAATTCATATCAATTTCTGATATCACTTAGATACTTTCATCTACCCGTGTGGTTTCTAATCATCCTCCTTTGGTTGTCACAGTTGAAGATAATCACGTTTGGAATGTTGACGATATTTATAATCACGGTTACAAGAAAGCCGATCACATAGTAGGTCTACCTAGTATAGGTTCAATGCTGTCTAGCAAACGAGATGTTGATAATTAAACACTTCATTCGAGCAGTTCAAAATGACGTTTGACAAACTATAGAATGGTATACAACTCGAAATTCAATAAAATAATATTTTGAGATTGTTTCTTCGAGAACCACGAGAAAAGTAGCCAAAATGTGTGACTAATTTGTTCGTCCAGCTTTGTGCTGGTAGAATCGCTGGTAGAAAATCACGCCTAAACTCCTTGACAAAGTGGTCCGTTAATGCATAATCACAGCGTTGACCGCGGATTCGAAGTTATTCGACTTAGTATTCATGGAGCCTCTTCTCTTTTATTGTGACAAGGCTTTATTTCCAGGTCGTTCTATCACTACTTATCTGCTGTGCTACTTTTATATTATATTAGTGTTTTAGAGAAAGCGTGGCCTGAAAGGTTTCAATCAGACTTGTCAACAGCAAGCTTGCTTTGGCTCATTTCGCTATAAAACATGTAAACTAGAATTATGAAAAAGCAAATCCACGCCAACTGACGAATCTATCAAACTTTAGCATTATTATTTGTTGGGGGAAATTCAACATCATGATATGTTGAAAGTGTTAAAGTAAATTAAAACAAATCGTTTTTTTCTGTCCATAATCCTCGACGAGAAATAACGATCTTTCTGGACGTAAGTTCTGATTAAAATAATTGAAACTTGGTAATTTTAAATTTCAAAATTGAAAAGTTAACACTCATAAGTAATTCAATTAAGTATTACCTACTACGACGGCACCAGTGATTGAGTTGTAAGCAGTGATGGAAAAGTTTACAAAAACTCACTATGGCTTGCTAATTTTTCCCTTCTTAAACTTTGTGCAATGTCATGAATTTTTCCAACGATGGTTGAGAGCGTGGCATTTTTTCTCATCCCACAGTGGATCTGTGGGCTGAGGTCATTGAGATTTTCTAAGGTGAAAAATCTCTAGTCACGTTTTCCTTGGCAAGGGCAGTAGAGCCGGTTGTTCAGACACATGTCGGGTCCGGTTGAAGTCGGTTCCCAGATGTCGGTGATTGGCACTTACATGTCGGAACAGATACCAAAGGAAAATAACCTAGGAAACGAATTCTAGAAAGAGGTGGAATTAGGACATAACAGCATTTGTAAGCAATTACTTTTTTCGATAATTTCTAGAAATTCAAGGAACGCCCACGCAGACCATCATAATCATCGGGAAGGGGGAGTCTGCCCCTAATGGAAGGTCATGTTGATTTGCGTAAGCGAGTCTTAACTTTCTAGAAATCATCGAGAGAAGTTTACATAAGCTGTTACGCCCTAATTCCAGTTCTATCTTGAATTATGTATAACTACGTAGCCAAAACGATGCACTATAGATACGCACCTTTCTCTAACCAAAAGGTTTTCATGATGTGTGTAATATAATGCAAGAATGGCACATAGGATAGAGTACTACTTCGGCATATACGCCTATTTTCAACTAACCCTATCTATTAACAAAATCTCCGCTGCTGTTACCTATGTGGGGACGCATAGGTTAACACGGTTCTAAAAACAACAATGGCCACTCAGGAAATTTGTTCCAGAAATATTATTTCAATAGTAAATTAAGCAATTACGGTATCAAATCAATAACAAAGTACTAAAGTTTAGGTCTTTTTATGATATGCAAATATAAGAATGCGTTTTTATAATGGTATTCGGCATGCTATTTTTGGGAGATATTTCTTGATATTAATATTTAATAAAATATAACAGGATAAACGGTCACTGCAAGCCCCATTTCGTTGATTCATTGTGCAATTTAAATTATTCTGTTCAATCGCCGGGCAGCAATCATTGATATGTGTATTCAGTCTAACATGAGTAAAGCTAACTCTTTAACCACCAATAGGGCCTCTTTGAGCCTGTTGGTGCTCACAAATTAAGTGATATTGCCAATTCGGAGAAAAATAGCTACCTGCGTAAGTTTTGTTGATAACCGTAGCTTTAAAAGTATCCTCTTCCTGGAGTCCGAGAGTGTTAAAGTGACTATAATAAAAAAAAAAGTACGTTCCTGGTTTTCAAATGTAATGCTTATTTTCCTCTGAATTGACAGTCCTATAATATTAGAATATTTTTGTTCTACACTTCATTCAAGCATCGTATTGAAGTTATTGACTGAAAGATTCAGCATTTAATAGTTCCTTCAAAGACTGTAAACATTAAATACATTTTGTTCATCTTTCGAACTGATACCTAGTCAACAGACCAAACGTGTGCTTATTTGTTGTCATCAATTCTACAGGAGTGCAAAACCAAATACATAGATTCCCAGAAAAAACTTGGGTGGGTATTGTAAATTAAGACGCTTTGCTAGTAAATCCATCGGTAGTGAATATCGGTTTGGTGCGTAGGTAACAATACTGCTACTTTCAGACTATAGCTTATATTACGCAGCATAGACGAGATATAGGTACGCTTGCATCAATCTGCGATTAATAGTTATGGCATTTGATGTCAGGTTTATCTATGAAATATACCATATAGTCTGAACGCAACATAAGCCAAGTTCATTTTTTTATGATTTGTATTTTTAGATATCGTATTTTTTGGAAAGCCTAAAGCCAAATAAAACAATGTGATTACTTATAAACAAATACAATACAAGGTTTTCATATTTTCAATGATTTATTTCTCATTCATTCAAGACTAATAGTAAATGGTACATCCATACTTGTTTTTGTTTTGCTTTTTATCAATGATGGTAGTTTGGTTGGTTTTAATATTTTTATTTAAATGAATTGAAAATGCTCCATCCAACCGTGAATTTTAAATATATGCTAGCATTTTTTTTCCCATAAATATGAATATATCATTTAATGCTAATGCTAATTTTCTTGTATAGCGCGTGACTTTTGTATGCAGATAGAATATCAAAATGACAAATTTTCTTTCAGTATAATCATATTTATGAAATACAATCGTCAGCTTGAAAGGAAATGGTCAAACATCCGCTCTTGAGTCTTCTGCTCTTCATGCTACTAAACTCAACATTCGACTAGAAAATACTCTACAAAAGATAATATAGCATTGAACTTCTGAGGTTCAAATCAAAAATAGGTTACTAATGAGGGCAACTGACGATAATTGCAACAGAAAACTACCTTTTGCTAGTAATCCTTAAACTTAGATCTTTGTCAAGGTTACTCTGACCCTCTGTGTAATTTCAATTATAATCTTGGTAAATTTAATAAAAGTGATCCGAACGAAAAACTTGAAACATCGATTCAATTGGTGCAGCAGATACGGTCAAAGTTTGACTTGTGATTTACCATTGCTCATACAACGCAGAAACTTAAAACTAATTAACGAAGCCGAGTTTAAACTACATTGTATTTATTTTTTATGTAATTGGTTCATCAGTTGTTGGCATCATTGATTTGTTCTAATCGCAGGACTCAGGAATAATGCTTAATAGTATGAATTTTAGTTGAATTCCGGAACTGGGGACTAAAACGAAATAGAAAGAATAAATCAGAACAAAAATAAATTGATTAAACATAAGCGAAAGTAATCGAACACAAAGTCAATCCATAAAAAAATAGAAAAAATAACAATCAAACAAATTATCAAAACCACAAAAAAACGGAAACAAAAAGAAGAATCTTAGGTTACAAGGGTACAGTAGCCAGGTTGCTTGTTTATAAAAAAAACACTGTCAATATGGAGGGTAAGCATGAATGAAACGATTATTTATAAAGTACCTATTGCAAGTGAAAAAAGCCTAATATAGTTTCAATAATAAAGTGTTCTTAAATGTTATTATTATTTTAAAAAATGTAGTGTTACAACTGTGTCAACTTCATCTTCAAAATAAGATATATTTTTAAACTGTGTGTCTCTATCTGAATATTAGCATTACTTACACTAACAAATCTTTTATTCCTCTAAAATCATCAAAAGAGTGGAAGAAAAGCCTGGTGACAAAATACTTCAATACTAAAGAACTCAAAATTGTCTTATCATTTTATGGTAAGTCAGTACCTTTCAAACATATAAATATAACTGAATCTTCCCATGTTAGGCAATGCTTCAAGGTCAGCGGTGTGCAATTTTCTAATTATTTTGACGTGATTTGCTTACATTTTGTACGTACATTGTAAATATCAGGCGTGAGTTACTAGCTTATTATGTGTTTTCAATTAGTACAAAATTCGATTACTTATAAAAATTTCACTCTCTAACTAAATACAAGCTACTTCTAGCTAATTGCAATCAATATAATTATATTCCAAACCAAAGTTTACGTTAGTGAGATGAATCTATTGCAAAATTGTGAGTAAGCAATTGTAATAGCGTGAGGTTTAGTCAATATTAGTAGCGGTGATGGTTGAAGTATTGGGCTGTGCAATTGCTGCTGCGATGTCCCCATAATTCTCGTCATCGTTTGATGTTGGACTCTGCGAAATGTGTAAAAAAGTGATTTTGAAAGTGATCAACTGCCAAAGAAATGGTGTTCTACTTTTCAATCATGCCGTGTTCTGTACAGCGTGTTTTGTTAAAAAGTTTTGTTTGCGTTTGATTAAAGGTGACTTTATATTAGATGTTACTAATGAATGCAAGGACAATCCTTTTGAAACTCAAAGTACAAATTGAAATCCTAAAGGCACTCTTTTTTTGGAAAATAAAGACGGAGGAAACTTACAATCAGACAACTAAAAAACTTGAACTTTTTTTTCGTATTTACGTAGGTTTAGGGACTATTTGTTGAACTTTCATCTACCTGGCTGTACATGGATCATATTTGTTTCAATAAAACTTGTACATATAGTCCTATGAAACAAAATCAGAGGGAAGCAAAAATACCCAATTAATAGACGACGTTTATAAAGCAACCTGAGAACAGAACATATGATTGAACGATGAAAAGGACAAATCTACATTTTATATTACCAATCATCAATTGCCAATCGAAAGGCTTGTACAGTTTTAGCTAGCTATAATTTCACCAAAATTTAAAAAATAGGGTCTGGAAGAATGCTACATGGAAGAAACGCAATACAGCTCTAGGAAGCTAGGCTTGCGGCTGACATTGGACAAGAAAGGGAAATTCTTCACTCGGTAGACGAGACTTTCTCAATAAAGAAGGAATTCTCTCGAACCCGATTTTACCTGTGACGGTGGTGTAAGTCCCACTGGGTGATCAATTTGCTTCAAATAATCCTTGTCATCAAATATCTTAACACCGCCGCCTCCTGGTTTGTGCTTGATGTTTTCGAGTGAGCCCACTTTGCTCTCGGCCTTGATGTCCAACTTTTGATTGACAATCTATAAATATAAAATATTGACCAAAACATTTGAATCACTATAGATTACACATTAAACTCTTACATTTGCATAAATAAGTTATCAAGTCAGAATTTTCGGCTCCTTCATAGAAAAGTCTACTTTTGGTGTTTTGAAGGAATTAGTGTCTAACCGAACAACTGTTTCCTGCAATTGTGCTTTGTTGCATTAGTGCAGGTGCAATGTTGACTGGAAGCAATTGTGAAAGCTTTTTTTATTTGCCATAAGTATTTGTATCGTCGCTACGTATGATACAATCACGCAAAATAAGTATACAACTCCATCTGGACCCCACATATCGAGCAAATCAACGCATGATCAGTTTTATATCCCTTCTAAAGATGTATTTGGGTTTTATCCATTTCATAAAATGTGTAAGTCTCAGCCACCTCAGTCAGGAGCACTTCTGAGACTCCCTGACCTCAATTACCTCAGGGTCGGAACGCATATCGATTGCTGTTCCGCGGGGCAAGGAATAATCGCACGTGACACACAGAAAAAAAACTTCACAAGCACTTCACTACTCAACTTAAAAAAATTATTGCATGTCCTCGGTCGCCGTTCGCTTTATCTCTGGAGGTCCTTCGTGCGCTTGCTGTAATTGTACGGGGTGGCGATGGCGAGCACCGGGTTACACGTCCTGGGCCTACGAGTTGGTTACGTACTCGGGCCGGCAGACAGCGACAATGTAACCTTCTGGTACGTCTACCGGACCTTCACATAGTACAGGATCTGAACTAAATACAGCGGGGTCCTGCTATCCGTCTATCCGTGACTCTCTCCTCACACTTTTCACTGGTTGTCTTACGATCAGAAATGTTCAATTTCAAAGTTGAGTTAGTCATTGGGTCATTGCTCCAGGCTGTCGGTCAGTGAATGTGATTCAACATCCATTCAAAATGGCCATCTCTATCGCCACCTCTCATGGCCTCCCAACAGGCAGTTGTTCGTCCATCTCGGATTTTGCAATTTTCGGTGGGGTGGATTGCTGCGTTTTACGGTAAGCTGTACTATCTTTGCCTATCAGAGAGTTTGACTTCGGATAAAACTGCACAACACTGTAGTGTTCGTGAGTGTTACTATTATTTTTCTACAATTTAACGGAACTAAACACCACGATAATCTGAAAAAAATCCTCAAAACAAAGACGCTAGCACTTACATATGATAGCAACTCTCTTCCATCAGTGAACTCCAAACAAGCTTCATAAGGTTACCCTTTCTTATATTTGTGACAAATATTGAAATAAAATAATCAGCTATGTAAATGTATGCTAGAGTAGTCCAAAACAAGTCGCTGCTAGAATTTTAAACCTTGCATGGCTGACCCCAAAACAGAAACACCCACTCTAAATTTAAAACCACTTGGTACACGGGAAGGGGTGCCGCTAAAGGCTTGATGTTTGAATTGTAAAAATCGGCAAACTGTACATGGGGAACGAGTCACTTTCACATTTATAGGTGGCACTTTCACGGTGTGAACCTTTGTATAATTGGGAACAACTTAACTGCAAACTGGAAGTCAATTTGAGTTAACCCAGAACAGTTCAGTATCAACATTTCAAAGGGGCGTAATTGCATTTGTAAACAATGGCTTTAGCCGTCGATTTCTCGCGAATAAAAGCTCACTCATGAAAAATAATGACACCAGTAGGTAGAGGAATGTTTCCTCTACCAGCTAGCATTGTAATTTTGGAGAGGTGAGATTTCATTCGCGAGAAATTGTCATTGTTTACAAAAGCAATTACGCCCCTTTGAAATGTTGGCACTGAGTTGTTAATTTTTGAACTCAACACCACCCGCCTTACTTATGGTGAGGGCCAAACGTGTTATGTACGGTTTTACTTGGCGAACAAGCATAAATCTGAATCATCTTTCCAGAGGAATGTTTTATCCGTAGGCGGTGCAGGGTCGAGGAGTTCACAGAAAGTTAAAAATATATATGCGGAGATGTTGAATGAGAGCGTGGGAGAACTTTTTTTTCCATAGATGGACTAGGATACAATTGCTCGATTCTGGATCGCCAGCAAAACTGAACTTTAAGTTATTCTTACCCACGAGCAGCTCAATTTTTGGTGCAAACGGCCAATCAAGTGCAACGGAAGATAGATCAGATGCAACTCAGCGACGGTGTTCAGATCCTACAAGTTTTACGTTTCAAGCCACAGAACCCACGACGATTCATCTGGGATCGTGTTACCGAGGAAGAACTAAACTTAAGTGTTTTGTGGTGTTTCATGTGCCGGAAACATTCTTCCGCTAATGTACATTAGAAATTTGATGTACATTGGAGGCATTTGGTGAGATCCTTCCATTTTACTTTATAATAAATACCATTATTGTTACATTCAAGCTTGCAAATACTCATTTCAGCTAAATGTTTTTCGGAATAATAAAACCAAAAGATGGTATAATGACATGTTTTACTTATAACTTACAAGAAGAGGTTACAAAGTATGCGTTTGTAACATAAAACCTGTAAATTTTGCTTTCTATGAGTCACAATCAGCGTGAGTGAGTGAGTGAGTGAGTGAGTGTGTGTGAAAAATCGCTGATTGTGACTCTCATAAAGTGAAATAAACAAGTTTAATATGTCAAACACATTCTTTGCAACCTCTTCTTGTATCTTACCAATTCAAAATATTATCATAGTATCTAATTAGGTATATCATAATTAAAAAAAAAACATTGTTTTAGCTGAAATGAGTATTTGCAACCTTGGTTATATTCACTCTTACATAGCTCGGAGCGTTTGGTAAGGTATGTACACGCATTTTTTCACTACATGGTATGCATAGCTGTTTAAATATATTTATTTAAGCTCGAATTATATCACAGAATCATCTTTGCCGCAAATGCAAAGCAGTACTCATAAAATTTCTTAAATTTTGTTCGGTACTTTCTTTGCTGCATTCATTTGGTAAAATATATTGTTAACCGAAAGTTTTGTAAAATGTGGTGTTTTACCAACTTTTCGCAATGAAAAATGCTGAATTTATGTAATTTACAGAAGTTTACCGAAAACTGTACATACAAATTTACAAACTGTAAATGGCTTCAATTCTGCAAAACTGTAAAAAGTGTGGCGAACTATACTGTAAAAATATTGTTGTATGTATGGAGCTTTTGTAGGTTTTGTTATGAATGCAATGCAATGAATGCAAATGATTTTCCATGCCTGATGGAAAATGTTCCCCTCAGCTGAAAATTAGCAATGTGTGCGCTTGTTTTCATCATTGAGATTTTCCACAGTTGTTGGTTCAGCTCCCAGAGTTTGTTGTCGATAACTTTGTCCGGGTTCTCAGCAGAACACAATTTGTATACGTAGGTGTTTTACTATCAAAAACACACAAAAAAAAACAATAAACTGTTAGTAATAATCTTACGGAACGGTATTGTAAACTTTACCAATCATTCAGCAAAATTTACAATGCGGAATGCAGTAAATTTTGACAGGTAGGGGAAATGTTGGCTTTGGCAATACCTTAACCTATTATCGTCAGGGGGTAAACAAAATCCTAGAGCACTCAAATTTGGCAAATAGTTGCTCTGAAACACAATGTATCCACATGCCAAAATTGAGCTCTAAAGGACGTTGTTTACCCCCCTGACGATAATAGGTTAAAGTATTGCCGAAGCCAACTTTTCCCCTATGTAAAATAACAAAAAATTATCGAACCGATTACCGATGTTCCATATTCGGTAAAAAATTACAATATAATGCAAAAAATCTTAATGCCTTGATCGCTTTGATGTTTTTTTTTTTCAGATATGCTGCCACCATTAATGTTGACATGAAACATGATTAGGCGTTATCCAACCTAATTAATTTCCAAGCTGCTTTCTCGTACTGGCTGCGCTTTTATTAGATAAGATTAGATTAGAATAGGACGAAAGGTCGAATGGACAAAAGGTCGAATGGACAAAAGGTCAAATAGGAAAAATAAAGAACGAATGGACAAAAGGTCTAAACGGACAAAAAGCCAAAATGGCCAAAAGGCGAACGAACTAAAGGTAAAATGACAAAAGGTCGATAGAACGATAAAAGGACGATAGACAAAAGGTCGAATGCTCAAAGGATGAAATGGACAGTAGTTCTTCTTTAACATGCGTTGTTCTTTGAAAGATAAAATAATAGATGAAAATAGTAAATGTAATAAACATTTCAACTTAAATGCTTTATTATTATTTCTCACTCCTTGATTTTATTTCTTCTTCATAACACGAATATCCCTTTGAATGAAAGGAGCGATTGAAAGTAGGAGCCGCTCAATAATTATATTGCAATTGTTCTGAATCAAAAGGGTCTCTTAAGGGATTTTCGTTATCGAGTTACTTTCTCTTGGATAACATTTCTCGCTGCAATGCGTACGCTAACTAATCAAACATTTTACTATATTGAATTGGAAAAATATCGGAACATTGGTTTACTTAACTGTAGGAATACAACGAGAACATCGATGAAGCGAATCGATCGTCGCAGTTAGGTCCTTATGATTCTGAATGATATATTCCACTTTTGGAGGTAATTACTTCATGAGTCGTTTTTGACAGGTTAAATCTATTGAATACACTCCAACTGAAAATGCTCAAAAGTTATTTCTCAGTCTTTGAGTCGACTCTTTTTTTATGATATGAACAGTCAAAAATTTCAAAAGGTTCTGTCTACTTTGATCGATTCTCTTCATCAACTTATTTTTTTGTTAATAACTTAGCTGTAAAAAACCTTCCTTGTTGTGTTTGACGTTCTGGACTCTAGATTAAAACCTCCTTCATCGAACTGAAATTGTGGCAGAAATTGCGCGATATCTGTTTGTACAACAGGAATCAACAAAAGAGGACGTCGATTAAACGAATAGGTCAAAGTAGATATGGAAATTTACAGTGGGGAACGTTGGGTGATATGTGCCCTCTAAGGAAATGATCGATTTGCACTACATTTTAATCATAAATAAACATTCTATTTCAGCACATTCATTAGTC